AAGCCGGCTACTGTCGCGCATTTTATATGACAAATGCGCATTCTGGCTCTGTGTCGTTGCTACTCTGAGCGAGGACTTTGGAAGGCGCGCATGGAAGCGCAAAAAGGATGGCTGGTTGAAGAGTGGGAAGGGGGGGAGTAGGAGGAGAGAGAGTCTTTCACAGATTCGCGGGATGTCAGCTAACGAGGGTTATTTGAAGACTACCTTATGTTTAACAGTACATGAAGTAACTCCTATTTCATGCGGTCAAAGGACTTTGTCTACATATGCTGTTACCCTCTGACTGGCAAGGCGCTGCATTTACGTGAGAACTCACGAAAGCAACAGCTGGATGACGCACCAAACTGCTGATAAAATGATGCCGTTCGCATTACGTGAGGAAATTTTGACGTCGGTATGATCTGCTGGACCCCTGCAGGAAGGAGGAGGAGGCTTGCGATCAAGGTGATTTTTCGAGTGGTTCCATAACTATGAGCGAATGCTATCAACCTAGTTTGCGAGAAATGCGTAGACTTGTCAGTGGACAGTCAGGTGAGTTTGAGGCACACTCCATTCCTGTTTAGTCACCGGGACTGCGAAAGGACAAGCTCTGCAAGATCATCTCCATCTCACGATCCAGATGTTCCTCAATAAAAACCTTTCGGCTCGGGAAAAAAGTGTATGTTCACGCAAAAAATGGACATCATTTCGGGTTCGATCGACCGAGTATGTCCACAGGCCTCCCATAATTGACCTGTGGATTGGTGGGACATCCTTGTGATGCAAGCATTCGCTCGAGCATGCGGGCACACAGAACTGCAGGACATTAGTTATCGATTTTTACGTCCGTGTTAGACACGAAAGACCAGCCGCAGTCCATCCGAGGAACGCTAACTGCCAATATGTTATTTCGACTGTGACCTTCGACCCTACAAGTGTTTGCGCGCGAGGCAAGACGAATAGAGGTGGAATTCAGGGAATTGTCTGAATCTTTTTAATGGCAAATTTAATTCCACTAACCACATTTGTTTAAGTTCGAAAAAAATACATACGAGGAGTAAGAGCAGCGTGGCGGCTTTGGTGTGACGATGCGAATTTGGCGAAGTTTGTGAAATGGGGTTCGGGTCTGTGCGTGGAGGGAAGGGGGACAAGAGGGTGTCCTAGCTTGCCTCCTCATTGTTTCTTGTTCAGCTCCTATTCGCTTTTCTTCGTTTCGATGAGGACGGAATAGTTCATGAAGTGTTCTCCACACGTGATTTATGCTTCCCCTGAAACAGGGAAGGTGGGCTACCGAGGAGGAGGAGGAGGAGGAGGGGAAGAGGAGGAGGAGAAGAAGAAGAAGAAGCAGAATAATAATAAGAAGAGATCTAGATAGCGCCTTTCTGGGTGGGCTGACTTATTTGTAGAAAGTAGGAAAAAGGGTGACGCTGTAAGAAGGGACCGATGCGAAGACAAATCGCAAGTATTTCGTGCGCTTCTGTGATTGTCGATGATAAAAAAATATGCTGTAGGATGACACAACTAAAGAGGGAGGACCCCCTCCAAGAGCCCGCACGGGGGAGGCATTTGGGTTGTGTGTGCTCACTTATGGACGCTTGCAGCTGTGGACGGAGTTTTCCGGGATGTTGAACAGTGTTCACATGCGCTACGGCTGCCTTGCTGAGCAATATTCTTGGGAGGAGGAGAAGGAGGGGGAACAAAAGCCACTTGAGGCAGAACCATCGTGACTGGACAGAGTGGCATTGTTGGTTATTTGGCTTGAAGGGTGGTTAGCGCTTCCACCACTGCTGCAAATCGGGCATCATCGTCGACATCAGTCGGTAAGTCAGTTCAAGGCGACTTCCTAGGCTCCTTCACAAAAAATCCAAAAGGAAAAAGTGTTCAATTTGAAAGAGGCATTCTCCAAAGCCAGAACGAGTCGACGCAGCGCTACGGCAAGCGAAAAAATTAAGCGAACGGTGGGCTGAAAAAATACGGCGGCGTGTGTGTGCCTGTTTGGTGAGCGATGCAAGTTGGGATGTTCATCAGTGGTGGAGTTTCATGTGTTGAAAGCAAAACGCCTTAATGAGAGTTATAGAGAACACACAGCTGCCTCACATTCACCGGTGTGGACTTCGCCATATACACGTTCGTATATATGCGTATGTATGAATGCATGTATGTATATATATACAAGATACCCTGCTCAGGAAAAAAGATGAAAGTACTTCCACAAAAATCGGAGGCGAAGAAAGCGAGGACGAGAAAAGGAGGGAAGAAGAGTCCGAAGAATGGTCGATTGTGAAATAAAGCAAAAGAATAAAATCGGCGTAAAAATTGCCTTGGGTTTGGTATAGTCTGGTGTTCCATTAGTGTTACGTGGATTTTGAAGGGAGACAGGGGTGTGTTGGGTGTATACCTTGTAGACTGTCCGAGTCGAAAAGTGAGAGTACACAATCCCGTTGGTTTGTGTGTGTGTGCAGCTTTAAGTCTCGCGACAAACTATGTGTCCTGTTCGCATGGTTAGTAGGCATTGGTGGTGATAGTTATAGACTCTTTGGATCATCCCACTGTCGATATAATGTTTTCCCTCAGTGTGTTCGACAGAATCCCTCTCTCCCTCTCTTATTGGTCGGGAAAGGAGAGAAAATTTATGCCGCCTCGGCTTCTGCTCTGTTGCTGCTGCTGATCCTGTTGTTGCTGCTGTTCCTCTAGACTGCTCTCGGCGCTCTTACCAGACAGATCTCTGGCCAGAGGAGACCCATGCACAGTGAGACCGAGTTTCCCGCTATGACCGAAAGGGACGTGACGATGTCCGAGGGCTTCACAGAAGCTGTTCTCATCTGACTCCTTAGTAGTAGGAGGAGGAGGAGTGGAGGGCGTGGAGTTGGTAGGGTCATAGGTCTGACTCCCGGAACCAGTGTCACTTAGCTTTGAACTCTCGAAGAATCCAGAACGCTGGAAAAATTGGCCATTAGCCTGATTCTGTAGCCCTCTGCCGTACCGGGATTCTTCTGTGCTGTAAACAGGCGAGGAGGAGGGTGGCACAGGTGACGGAGAACCTCCGACCACACTAGACTGACGCTGAACAAAATTAATGGATCCAGGGACCTTCTGGACACTGCCATGGGACCTTTCGTTACGGATATCCTCCTCCATGAATGCTCGAGCACTCTGTCCGACTGGCTGCTGACTACTTGTCCTGAAGTCTTCCATAGACGGCGAAGATGCTACCGCTGGGATTTTTGCAGTTGTCGACACAGACTCCGATCTGTATGAGGAAGAAAGCTGACTCCCACTGCCCTTGTCAGTTCTGGATGCATGGGCTAGATGGCCAGTGGAGAGTTTTGTACGCCTCTCCTCTTCTATCTCCTCTTCCTCCTCCTCCTCGTCGGCTTCATCGTCCTCATCCTCTTCGTCATTCGTCCCGGGTAGCACGCCACGCGCATCTTGCGCCTGTCCTTGGAAACCCGCTAACAGGGCCTCAATGCGCAGGTCTCGCACCGATGTGTTCACATTCCGTTTGTCAGCTCCGCCAGCTCCGACCAGCGGAAAAAATTTGGCCAGTTTGTCCACCACGTTCTCCACTGTATGGGTCATCGTCTCCTGTGGAAGGTTAGTCATTTGGTGTTGCTGTTGTTGTTGTTGTTGAGGATGGTGATGGTGCTGCTGCTGTTGTCGCTGAGGGTTATACTCTTGGTGGGAGCGCGAATGGAAGAGCGTATCGGCGGTGCAAGAAGATGCCGAATTGGGTGCCGAACGGCGGAGAAATTCCGTCCCAAAGTTTCGCTGGTGGTTGCTACTGCTGCTGCTGCTGCCGCCGCTGACGGCGCTACTCTCGTCTAAGCTGATGCGCTTTCCGGCCCTGCTACAGTCCTTTTGATCGGAAACAGTCAGGTGTCGGGGATTATCCTCCTCCTCCTCTAATTCATCTGGATCTGGCTTTAAACGCTTGGCAGCCGAAAGATGTGAGTAGAAACCGAGTGATCGACAACCGACAGCCTCATCGGCACCCAGATGAGAAGAGGTGGATCCGGTTACTGTGCCAGTCGCGGATGACTCCATGCTGTTGATACGTGCGCTCTCTGGCATCTGGCCACCACTGACGACATGCTGTTCCCAAGCTTCTAACGGGGGTTTTCGTACCCTCTTATCACCTATCCCGGTCTCTTTAGGGGGACCTCGGAAACCCGGCGACTGTGAACGGCCGTCTAGGCTGTCAGCTGAGTCCGTGTGCTGCTGTGGATGATGCTGGTCCTCAGCCGGTGACCGACAGTACTGTTGGAAGTTATCCTGCTGTCTTGGTGATGGATCACCAATCATTTGACCTCCGCGTGTTTGCTGATGTGCTATTGGCGGTGGCTGTGGTGTGGGCGAAGTGACCACTGCCGCGGCTGCCAGAGACTGAAACCCCGTCTTGCTGTCTGAGAATCGAGCCACATGTCGCAAACCAGAGGCTACCAACTCCTCCGCATTCATGCACTCCTCCAGTGAGGGCGGTTTGTTGAGGAAGGCTGGCATCTGGCCGGTGCCGGCGTAGGAGCTGGCTAAATGATGCGAAGCGGCTGCTGCAGCGAGTATCTGCTGATGATGATGCTGGTGATGTTGTTGCTGCTGCTGTTGGGGATAGGGTGTGTGGCCCACAGACATGCGGCCGGAAGAAGAGGAGGAGGGTGAGACGTGGTGCTGGGACTGTTCTATGAGACCTCCGCCACCTGCAGTGTGATGACCCTGTTGTCCTGCCTGTTGCTCCGACTTGTGTGCGGCTGCAGCCGCGACCAAGTGAGCAGCGTTTTGACCCTGTAAGCCCGGTGGCAGGTGGTGCAGGAGGCTCGATTCCGAATGCGGCATAAAGGAGGCGGCGGCTGCAGCTGCGGCGGCATGTTGTAGATGGTGTAGTTCAGGGTAGTGTTGGATCTCGTCGTGCAGGTCTCCGGTGCTTCCGCTGCGACCTCGACCGGGGTTCACAAATCCACTGAGCGCACCAAGAGCACCCGAGCTGTTAAGACCCAGGCGGCCGACACTGGAATTTGTGACTGCCTCTTTGTGCCTTTCCATGTGCTTGGACAGATAGGTTTCCGAGTTGTAGCTCTTTGAACAGGCCGGGCACACAAGCACCTACAAAAGGAAACCGGTTTAAATTTTTTAGAATATACGCACAGTGGCTACTTTGAATGTACAAGTAAGTGGTGTTATCTATGTAATTATCAACATTACTTTAGCGTATCGATTTCCAGCGTGCTTGGCTTGAACGTGCAAATCGAGATCTTCTTTGGTGTCGTAGGACATGAAGCAGTTCTCACAGCGGTGAGGTTTGCCCTTCATATGCTGGCGCTGATGTGATTGCAGATTCGACATCTGTGTAAAGCTCTTGAAGCAGGTGACGCATCTGTGAAGAGAGACGGAATGAGCAAAAAAGTGGACACTTGTTTCAGGCCAGCGATAAAACAAAAATACTGATGCTGCAAGCCGTTCAGAAGAGCGGCCAAGTGAAGCTATAGGCAAAGAAAGATAACGTTAGGGATGTTAAGCCTGTAGTCTCCGAACAGGTTTTGCATAGGCGTTAATAGGATAGACGACCGAGATTGAATGGCTTGCGTAATTCACTGCGCACTGGTCACAACAATGCTGATACGGGAATAAATTCTGAGGTAATGTGATGGCACATTCTCAGAGCAACATAATACATTAGGCAAAATTTCGGCTACAAATTAAGCCTATCATAAGGATAAAACTGAAAAATGACAAGAAACTGGAGAGTATGCGGGGATCATACCACGTTGGCCTACGAATCGCAATTTCGTCATGTTCTGCGGATATTCCCATGTCTCACTTAAAAAGTCCAGTTGACCAATACTCACCATCAGGCTCATACAGTTGAAGAGAAAATAAAAACAGGAAAGGTTGACAGAGGTTATAAGCTTCGAAGGGGTTAATTAACAACCACTGTTCCCTCGTCACCCGCACGACGAGAGCGGCGTGTTGTGGTAATTGGAGCAAGATGGGGTGACATAGACTGTGAGTGATGATTTTATGTGCCCCCCCCCCCAAACGGGCCACGTGGTAAATGCACTGGACAAACGCGGTGGCCATGTCGGATTCTGGCAGGCGTTATCGGACTGCGCACCATAACAAATGCCAACATTTCGGGCTGCGGTGGCAGACCCAGTTGCCTGAAAACGTCGCGCACACTGGGATTCCTGCCGGTAGACGAGTTTGCGCTCCCGCTGTGTATACAGGTCGTGAGTATAGCTACTCAGTCATCCTCACCTTTCTGACACTGTGGTGTTGTTGTCGTTGGTCAAAAACCTGGTCGTTTGCTGTGTGGACCAGGGGTTGTCGTGGGAAGCCTGGGTGCGGGTCCAGATGTGCCAGTCACCTGCCGTCGGTCTTCCTGACTCTGTCTTGACACCGGGTCCAGGTTGTGGAGGAAGAGACAGTGCGGTAGATGCCGTGCAAGCCTACCATCACTATAGACTAATTCACGCACAAATCACCGTTCCTGCTCTCACCTTGATGTGGAGTACACGGTAGACATTGTCGGCAACGACGGTCAAACTGTCGAGTGATGTTTGTAAGTCGAGTACACAGTACTGCCGTGAGGAGGCTTGGGCGGCGTGCAATGACCATCTGGGGTCGGCGTTGGACGCGGAAGACAGAGCGCCTGTGCCAACGTCTTCTGACAACATAGCACTGGATTCGCTAGACTTATACCCACTGCCTCGGCTGTGGCAGCCACTCCTTTATGTAGGCTTCTGAGGAAGCTTGCCGGTGTCCTGTAGACAACCTGAAAGGCTTCTTTGATTCGCATTCGAGGTCCATCTTTTTCACTTCTGTCTAGCCAGACCGGAATGTGTTCAACAGGCGCCTCGTTGTACGACCAATTCATCCCACTCCACAGGAGCGAGTGAATGAACAAAAACACATCAACGTGGCCTGCAGCGGTAGTTCTGGACCCGGTATGTGGATGATACCTTCACTGTTATCGACCGGGATCAACCGCTGGCATTCAAGAAACGTCCGAATGCAGTCTTTCCGAACATTCAATTTACGATGGAGGAGGAAGAGAACAACCAACTGGCCTTCCTGGATGTCCTCATATGCCACAAAGATCGTGGTGGACTAAAGACCAAATGTTCAGGAAAGTGACAAATACGATGTAAGTACTGAACTTCAACAGCAGCCACCCAATCAGCCACGAACGCAGTTGTGTAGGAACACTCTATCGGCGCGCCGAAACGCAGGGAGACGGAAGACAAGATTTCCGAACTAAAATACCTCCGACGGGTCTGCAAAGCCAATGGCTACCCGCGCAACTTCGTCAACCGGTACATACACAAAAGGGACGAATGGCCTAACCGCACGGACCCCAAATTTTGGCGAGTGCTTCCGTATGTCAAGAATGCTTCGGAAGCTGTCCGCCGCCTCCTCGCACCACCTGGGGTTGCGGTTACACATAGACCGGAGGCAACCATCCGGCGTCAAATAATGAAACCAAAAGGGCCGCTGCCACAGCAAGAAACGTCTGGAGTCGTTTATCGGATCTGGTGCAGTTGCGGACAAAGCCACTACGTCGGAGAAACCGAAAGAAAGCTCCCAACGCGACTGGTCGAACAGGCTGCAGCGGCCAGGAGAAGTGACACCAGCTTTCAAGTTGCGGCTCATTCGACGAGATCCGGCCATACATTCAAATTCGACGTGTCCGAAATTCTCGCTAGAGGTGACAACCGCGTGAGCCGGGAGCTGCTTGAGTCATGGTTTACTGTTTCCCAGTCCATCAACAAGTGCAACGACCTTACCCTTCCCCATTCGGTGCTGAGGCTCCGCCTAGGCTGGGTAATTAGCCCCACGGGGGGACGCACATCCGAACATTGTTCCTAACGCCAGGGTCGGTTGGCTGAATGATGGAACAATCATCACACCAACATCCAACATTCGCGATGAAATTGCAGCGATTAACGACGCGATTGTCGATCACCGAACAGTCACCAGACCAAGTGCAACAATCCCGAATGGGGGGGGGGGTAGCCGTGGCTTTCCAGATGTAAGCGGTAGCATGGCGGCCGCATCCAATAAACACTGCAGCCCCTTGCGCGTGCACTACCCGTGTCCGCTACGTCTCTGATGATGGTTTCGATCAGGAATGCGAAAAGTCAGGCGAATAAAGTTCTTGTTCCAGAGGTCTTCAAGACTGCTTCCTGGGAGTCGTCCTTTAGCTTCTATATCTCAGAATATCAACGTCTTCATGCTGACAATCATTATTACGAGGTAAGTTTTCTGTTAGTCGCAATGCCGAGGATCGTAATCTAAAATCACTCCTTCGGTTTCCTGGAAATGTCTCCAAATTTTTGCATGTTTGCGGACTGCGAAGGTAAGGACTGTGGACTGTTATCATAGTTGATGTCGTTGTAGTTGGACAGGAGACGGTGACGGCCACTGCGTGCAGTCAAATGCGTAGGCCTAGGGAGGATGAGGGTGACTTGAGGGAACCCGGATTCCATTACTTCTACAGAAGCAGTACATCCATTTAAACCTACTTTCGAGTAAACATGAAATCCAAATATATGCTGTGGATCAGCAGTCCATACCTACCGTGGTTCAGTTCCTCAGTGACTCTTTCGTCGCCCGTTCCCCCCAAGACCATCTGGAATGTTTTGACCATAGCTCTCTCATCCACCATTAGCCAGATTAGCCTGTCATTCGCCAGTTCTCGATTGTTTTGGAAAGTGGGTTATTGAAGTGATTTCTCTTAGATTCTGAATGAGAACAAGAGCTCTACCAAACACCGTACCAGATGTACTGTCAGCATCGGTGCTGGTGCTGCTACGGCAACCGTTGAGCTGGTGGCGATGATACCGAAGACCTGTTCGTATCCTTGTTGTTAATCAGTCAGACTGTCTAGTACAAAGCTCTGTTTGGTGTCCACGTCTATAGCTTGGGGCCTTCGGGGGTATACACGACCTCCGACAGTCTATGCAACTGTCAAGGTCACGGACCGAGAGACTTCACGAACCGAGTAAACAGAATCCGCCTCCTCGTATGTATCCCCTGCAGTAAAAGTTGCAGTCGTTCGGAGCCGTATGACTCACTCGAGATGACGCACCAGTGTGTCAAATTAAAAGTGAGTGTAGG